ATTCGAATCAAGTGCCGGGGATAACCACTCAATTGATTACCTTATTCTACAATCCATGAGTTCGTCTCGAAACACTAAGTGCTCGGAGCATCTTTCATCTGCTGAGCTGATCTTCATCAATGTTCATTTTTTGAATATTCTTGGATCATCATTTGAATCAAGTGCCGGGGATAATCACTCAATTGATTACCTTACTCTATAATCCGGGAGTTCGTCTCGAAACACTGAGTGCTCTGAGCATCTCTCATCTGCTGACCTGATCTTCATCAATGTTCATCTTTTGAATATTCTTGGATCTTCATTCGAATCAAGTGCCGGAGGTAATCACTCAATTGATTACCTTATTCTACAATCCATGAGTTCGTCTCGAAAAACTGAGCGCTCGGAGCATCTTTCATCTTTTTTCCTTGGAATGAGAAGAACAGGGATAAAAAACAATACATCAAACTCGTGCATTCACTCAATCTTCATTAATGTAACAACTCTTTTAGAATGATTTTGATTCGAATCAAGTGCCGGGGATAATCAATCAATTGATTACCTTATTCTACATTCCGTGAGTTCGTCTCAAAACACTGAGTGCTCGGTGTATCTTTCATCTTTTTTCCTTTGAATGAGAAGAACAGGGATAAAAAAAACAATACATCCAACTCGAGCATCTACTCGAACTTCATCAATAGTTGTATTCCTTTCACACCTAGGAGGAGCTCCTGAACAGCTTCAGGGCTTCACGCGCTTATTCCTTTCGAAAAGTGTTTGTTGCACCACGCATCTGTTCCCTGCAAATCGGGGGCGACTGAATACCGAAGCGAGTAGCTTGAGTGTTTCAAACTCTTGAAAGGAATACAACTATTGTAACAACTCTTTTAGAATGTCAATGGGAAGCTACAAAATGGCGTCAGACATGATTCGATGAGCTGATCTTTCTCAATGTTCAATTTTTGAATATTCCTGGATCTTGATTTGAATCAAGCTCCGGGAATATTCACCCAATTGATTACCTAATTCTATAATCCGTGAGTTTGTCTTGAAATACTGAGTACTCGGAGCATCTTTCATCTTTTTTCCTTTGAATGAGAAGAACAGGGATAAAAAACAATACAGCCAACTCGAGCATCTACTCGAACTTCACCAATGTAACAACTCTTTTAGAATATCAATGGGAAGCTACAAAATGGCATCAGACATGATTCGATGAGCTGATCTTTCTCAATGTTCAATTTTTGAATATTCCTGGATCTTGATTCGAATCAAGTACCGGGGATAATCACCCAATTAATTACCTAATTCTACAATCCGTGAGTTTGTTTTGAAACACTGAGCGCTCGGCTCGGAGCCTCTTTCATCTTTTTTCTTTTGAATGAGAAGAACAGGGATAAAAAAACAACAATACAGCAAACTCGAGCATCTACTCGAACTTCAATAACGTAACAACTCTTTTAGAATGTCAATGGGAAGCTACAAAATGGCGTCAGACATGATTCGATGAGGTGATCTTTCTCAATGTTCAATTTTTGAATATTCCTGGATCTTGATTCGAATCAAGCTCCGGGAATATTCACTCAATTGATTATCTAATTCTACAAACTGTGAGGTTGTTCTGAAACACTGAGCGATCGGAGCATCTTTCATCTTTTTTCCTTTGAATGAAAAGAACAGGGATGAGAAACCAATACAGCAAACTCGAGCATCTACTCGAACTTTACTAATGTAACAACTCTTTCAGAATGTCAATTGGAAACTACAAAATGGCGTCAGACATGAGTCGATGATCTGATCCTTTCCAATGTTCAATTTTTGAATATTTCTGGATCTTGATTCGAATCAAGTGCCGGGGATAATCACTCAATTGATTACCTTATTCTACAATCCGTGAGTTCGTTTCAAAACACTGAGTGCTCGGAGCATCTTTCATGTTTTTTCTTTTGGATGAGAAGAACAGGAATAAAAAAACAATACAGCAGCTTCGAGCATCTACTCGAACTTCACCAATGTAGCAGCTCTTTTAGAATGTCAATGGGAAGCTACAAAATGGCGTCAGACATGATTCGATGAGCTGATTTTTCTCAATGTTCAATTTTTGAATATTCCTGGATCTTGATTCGAATCAAGTGCCGGGGATAATCACTCAATTGATTACCTTATTCTACAATCCGTAAGTTCGTCTCAAAACACTGAGTGCTCGGAGCATCTTTCATCTTTTTTCTTTTGGATGAGAAGAACTGGAATAAAAAAACAATACAGCAGCTTCGAGCATCTACTCGAACTTCACCAATGTAGCAGCTCTTTTAGAATGTCAATGGGAAGCTACAAAATGGCGTCAGACATGATTTGATGAGCTGATCTTTCTCAATGTTCAATTTTTGAATATTCCTGGATCTTGATTCGAATCAAGCTCCGGGAATATTCACTCAATTGATTACCTAATTCTACAATTCATGAGTTTGTCTTGAAACACTGAGCGCTTGGAGCATCCTTTCATTTTTTCCCTTTGAATGTGAAGAACAGGGATAAAAAAACAATACAGCAAACTCGAGCATCTACTCGAACCTCACCAATGTATCAAGTCTTTTAGAATGCCAATGGGAAGTTACAAAATGGCGTCAGACATGATTCGATGAGCTGATCTTTCTCAATGTTCAATTTTTGAATATTCTTGGATCTTTATTCAAATCAAGTGCCGGGGATATTCACTCAATTGATTACCTTATTCTACAATCCGTGAGTTCGTCTCGAAACACTGAGTGCTCGGAGCATCTTTCATCTTGTTTCCTTTGGATGAGAAGAACAGGGATAAAAAAACAATACAGCAAACTCGAGCATCTACTCGAACTTCACCAATGTAACAACTCATTTAGAATTTCAATGGGAAGCTACAAAATGGCGTCAGACATGATTCGAATCAAGTGCCGGGGATAATCACTCAATTGATTACCTTATTCTACAATCCGTGAGTTCGTCTCGAAACACTGAATGCTCGGAGCATATTTTATCTGTTTTCCTTTGAATGAGCAGAACAGGGATAAAAAAACAATGCAGCAAACTCAGGTCACCGTTAATTCGTCGTAAATCAATATGTCGTACGTCAATTCGTCGTATGCCAATTCGACGTAAAGTCAATTCGTAGTACATGTCAATTCGTCGTAGAGACAATTTGTCGTACACCCCAATTCGTCGTAAAGTGAATTCGTAGTACACGTCAATTCGTCGTATACGTCAATTCGTCGTAAATTTATTTCGTCGTATAGATAATTCGTCGTATACGTCAATTCGTCGTATTTCAGGTATTATGTTAAAATATTGAAATGTATAAATTCACACTGTCTAGTTATTTCAGACACCAAACTTACCGAAAATAACCCGGTTAGTTTGCAATTTAAATCAGACATTACATTGCAAACTAACTAGGTTTTAGTTTGAAGCTTGAATCAGACATTACAATTTACATTGCAAACTATAACCAGGTTATTATCGGTAAGTTTGATAATGTCTGATTGAAATTGCAAACTATCAACACGTTAATTCGTCGTATACGTCAATTTGTCGTATTGTTAATTCGTCGTATTTCAGGTACGATTTTAAAATGTACTTTCACTGTTCAATCAGACATTATCGAACTTACCGATAGTAACGACGAATTACCTATATTGTCGTATACGTTACTTTACGACAATTCGGTAAGCTTGGTGATGTCTGATGAAATAGAAAAAGTGCAAATTTATACACTTTAACATTATACCTGAAATACGACGAATTAACGCTACGACGAATTGACGTATACGACGAATTGACGTATACGACGAATTGACTCTACGATGAATTGACTTTACGGCGAATTCACGTGTACGATAAATTGTCGTTCACGACGAATTGTCTTTACGACGAATTGGCGTATTCGATAAATTGACTTTACGACGTATTGACTTTACGATGAATTGTCGTACGATGAATTGACTTACGACGAATTGACATAAACCCAGCAAACTTGAGCATCTATTTGTTAGGTATGTGGGCCTAACAGAAATATGATAGAGGTATATGTTTAGATTGATCCGGAAAACCGCGTAACTAGATGTTACGAAGAGGTCAATCTCAACATTGGCCTGTACGCAAAAAATTTTTTTCTACAAACGTCACTAAAAGTGTCATTTTTAACGGATGCTGTCAGTGTCTAAAATTCCATTTTACGACACTGGTGTTAAAAGTGATTACTTTTAGCACTAGTGCTAAAAGTAATCACTTTTAGTGCCTTTGTAGAAAAAATAGTGTATGATATTCGTGCTAAAAGTGATTTTATTTTGTTCAAAGGGATGGAACACTCTGCCTTCGGCGTCGTGTCCCAAACTTCCCTTTTCACAAAATAAAATGTCACTTTTAGCACTTATATCATAAATAACTATTATGTCTAAAATGAGATCACACCGTTAAAATTGAATAATGACCACACGGTGTATTATGGAGATATGCCAGTTCGTTCCAGCATAGAAAGGGGTTCTTTTAAGTATTTTTATGGGAATAACTCATTTTCGCCAAATATTGAGATAGACCCCTTCGTACTGACAGCGACGAATTGACCTTTAACTACCGTTGGCGGTGATGTACTTCTCCTGAGAAATCGTTGCTGAAAATCGGGTGCTAACTTCACACTTTCTGTGTATTTTGAACATCGAATATTTGTAAATTGTATGCGGTTTCTAATATCTCAGTTACCAAAAACCAACTTTTCACCGGCGATAGTTACGCAAATTCTCACTTATCTTCTCACAGTACTATCAACACTCTTCCTTAATGCCAACAGTTATGTTACATATTATATATCTAAACCGCCATAAATTAATAAATAATTCAAAAACTTTTAAACGGATATCCTAAATTCAAAATCATATCTCTTTTGCGGTTACACGGCAGCAAAAAAATCCACCGCAAATTTAATGTTTTTTAAAATTTAATTGGGTTTTATCTCTGTTTGTGTATTTTTAGATCATTTATTCATTTTTCAGAAGATTCCGAGGATGAAATTGAGGTAACTGACCAAATGGATACCAGCACTGAAGAAGCGCCACTACTAGTAAATTACACTAACAACAATTCCAAGGAAATGGCTCCGAGCCCATACGACCGACAACTTGATTTCGCTTACAATTACGATGAAGACATCAATCAAATTGATTTAATCTTTGGAAGGACCACAAAAAGAATTATCGGCCACGGAATTCTGCCTGAAGAACTAGAACTAAAAGAAACTGGAGTTTTTGCTAGAAAAACAATACCTAGGGGTACCAAATATGGACCATTCCAAGGCAAATGGGCTGGGACACCGTATTTTTCGAGATTTGCTTGGGAGGTAAGAATTTTCAACAAAAGCAAAAATTTCGTACCCCACACACATATATGAGGATTATATTATCTCCCTTATTTTAGGAAATAAATGTCCCTATGTTCTCACCCTAATCACATTGATGAGAAATCCACCCCTTGTGTTATAGCGCATGTATATAAAATGTAACTAGACCTCTCTTGGCAATTTTGAACTCAAAAACTGTCAACAGTGAGTGTTATTGGTGTTGTTACAATACAAACTTTGGGTTATTTTAGAAGTGCTTTTGTTGTTGAGAACAAGGGAAAATTTTGTGTTTTATTGATAAGATGTTTTATCGATTTATATCTTTCAAAATAGTTTACAGGATATCTTTATAATGAATCCATGTCCGGTACATAAGTATATTTTAATCTCAAAATTTCGATTCTTATGTCTATCTTGATATAATCTTGTCATAGAAACGGAAATTTTGCCTAATAATATTAATCTACGTCAATCAGTATACAGTATACTAACAAGTGGTTTTAAAAACTAAAAAAAAAGTTAGTTGGTTAGATACGTTAGGAAAGTGAGTTATCTTTATGTTTAATCAATAGAAAATTGATTGAGAAGTTCAAGAAGAATATCCCTAAAATTGGAAATTTACTGTTGTCGAATTTCGGGATCCCAAAGAATTTTGGAAAACTTTGAAAGGTCATAACTTTATTTCTATTAAAGATAAAAAGTTGAAATTTTCAGCGATTCTTATACCAGTAGAGGACTACAATCCCTGATAATTTCAGCTCATTTGAACTTATAGTTCCAGGAATAAAATCGTGTTAGGCAATTTGGGGTGATTTATCAATTTTTCAATTCTTCTGAGTGTCTTTTTTCATAGAATCTGGCTCCAACTCTCAGAATAATTTAGTGTATGAAGTTTGTGGGATCTCAAAGGACCATTAGGACATAAAATCTCAACAAAAAAAAAATGAAATTTCATCGTTTCAGTAAGAAGGTAGAAGGTAGGTACCTTATGATTGAAATTTTGGAAAACTTTGAGAGGTCATAACTTTTTCTCTATTAAAGATAAAAAGTTGAAATTTTCAGCGATTCTTATCCCAGTAGAGGACTACAAGCCCTGAAAATTTCAGCTCATTTGGACTTATAGTTCCAGAAATAAAATCGTGTTAAGCAATTTGGGGTGGTTTATCAATTTTTCAGTTTTTCTGAGTGTCTTTTTTCATAGAATCTGGCTCCAACTCTCAGAATAATTTAGTGTATGAAGTTTGTGGGATCTCAAAGGACCATTAGGACATAAAATCTCAACAAAAAAAAAAATGAAATTTCATCGTTTCAGTAAGAAGGCAGCTACCTTATGATTTCAAGAGACAGTGTGATTCTCGTCTCGTCTCGCGGCATCATTACTCCTTATTCTCCAGCAGTTGTGTATATTATTTTCCTACTCTCTGCCTAATGATCGATTACCTATACCTATAACTAAGAAAAGCAGAATAGGTAGTAAAAATATGACTTACTCCAAATAATGTTATTGAAGTTATCACCACTGAACTTCCAACTATCAATTTGGATAATTAAAATTCTACCCGCACCCTATCAAAAACGGAAGATCTGGATATATTCAGTTTCCAAAGTCAATAGATAAGATTTATTTTATAAATTGATCCTCTGGCATCGATTGTATCCGTTATTATCACTCATCTCTCGAGATATTCACCTTATCGGCAATTATTTTGAGTTGGACACATTTTGTTCTCAGAAATAGTTGGTTTCTCTCGGCTGATGAGTTGGTTGCGGCTTTGTGATTAATTTTTTTTTCAAAATTCATTGACCCTTTACTAGATTGTCAGCGAGATTAGGGCTGTAGTGAAGATGGTGAGTATTTTAGAATAAATACATAAAATTCATCGTAGCGATTTTAAAGAATAAAATGGTATAGAAACTCTTTTATGAATCAGCAATTTTCATAGTTATCAATTTTTTTACCTTACAAATTTACATACTACTTCCTTCTCTATACGAAGGCAAGGACTTTGAATATTTCTCTGACTTTTTTTGAACTTTCTCTAACTCCCTTGGATATCTTTAGTAATTCATACTTTCTCGGAACCTTCTAATCTAAACTTTTCCTGAACTTCCCGATAAATTTAGAAAAATATTTCACCTCACTATCTTAAGCTGGACTTCCTTCGGAAGGTAAATATTTCCTCAGTATCCAGCTTCCTCTCTAAGCAGGAATTGAAAAAAATCAGTTATCGATATCACGTAGGTAGGTACTTATTTTGAAGAATATCGATTCATTGGAAAAAAAATATATAATTTTTCAAAAATATTTTTATCAATAAATGCTGCAAACCAAATTGATAACAATATCCGCAATAGATACAGATTTTGCTTGCGGTAATCTAAATTCTAGATTTGATAAATTATTTATCGCACAAGTTTGATGGTTCAAATATCGGATTCTAACTACATCAATTCGTAAATGTTACTCCTTGTATAACATATTTGGTCTTAGTCCCCTCACTATCCAGGAAACAATTCTAACAGCAATCAATAATCGATATCTCAAATAAAATAAATCATAGAAACAATATGGGATTGACCTTTATGTGACTGCTTACAAAATGTTACGAAGTTTTGACCATATTTGTGTGTGTGTGTATCGAATATTTGCGACATCTGTTACCATTGCTTCTTATATGTTTAACTTTGGGATATTGGTACAGGGGAATATTGCTTTCCATTATTATTATTATAAGCCCAATATGCTTGTAAATAGGTTCAATAAAAATATATTAATACCACAGTCAGCAAATAAGATTTAAACTTCAGAAAAATCCCATTCACACCTCAACATAAATAATGAACTTCTTCAAAGAAATCTTCGAGGACAATCTCACACGCATAAAATATCCTTTTGGGCCATCGGACATCATCCTTTTAATGATCCAGCATTGTTGTGCCCAGGCCCAGGACAAGAAGGAAAAAAAGGAATTTTTGTGCCATCGGACCGTGTTTTGTGTTCAGTAGGTAGTCTTTGTCATGGCGGTTACAAGATAATCATCGCATAGGTATCTTTTTCAAGAAATTGCCACTCAAGGTGTCATATGTACGGGTCCGAGTCTTAGGGGGATTTTGCTAAGGAATTGTGAATTATTATCAATTAAATTTGTTCTAGTTCAACAAGCAACGGGAAATAATATCTCCCTATAAAAGCTGCCAATACCAGGTGGCAAAATGATTGACAGATTCACCCAAAAACCCCTTTTTCAATCAAATATTTTCGAGAAGATCGATATAATCCCTCGACAGTGCAGAGGATATTCGGTTTTGCGCCCAATCACAATAAATACCCAAAACGAAATCTTCGGAGGCCTTTATTGGCCAAAATTAGGGTTTTGTGCAAGAAATTTACATTCCCTTTATGTTCAGCTAGAACGTGTGAAAATCCTTTATTGTAGGGGACGCCGACTTATAGTTGTATGAATATAGAAAAAACGTATATATCTCCGTACAATGAATATTTTATAGAATGCACTACAGGTCCCCGCAGGTCTGCAAAAATATAGTGATAGATTGTCAATCAAATTAAAAAATATATATAAAAGTAATACATTAAAATCCTCCGTAAGTTAATGAGAAACTTGAATAAAAGGCTGTTTGAATGAAAAGCTAACTGGTTTAATTGACTATAAATCAGACTACAAGAGGTTATGGGCCCAGGCAGTTTACAGGGCAGAAAATTAATTAAAAAATTGAGGTCCCATCCAGGTGAGCAGAAAAATAAAATGAATTATGACTGCTGCAAAGAACAATTACAATAGTGAATTACTAAATAGTAATAATTATGGAGCCTGGAAGTTTAGAGTGCAGGTGTTGCTAGAGGAAAAAGGAGTGGAAAAATGGTTCGAATATGAATTTGATGATAATGGATACAAATATGATAGAAAGAAAGAAAATGATAAGAAACAAGACAAGCAATGCCAATCTATAGTGGTTCAGTGTTTGGATGATGCTCAACTGGGGCTTCCAGGACAAATGTTTTTGAAACGAAAGTTATTATCACTGAAATTAAAAGAGGGCGAGTCACTTGAGAAGCATATTTTAGAATTTGAAGTTATTGTTAGGCAATTGATTGCATCAGGTTGCGAAGTAAAGGATGAGGACAAAGTATGTAATTTGTTATTAACATTATCAAAGTCTTATGAGACTGTATGTGCGATTGTTGAAAATACAACTGATGTTAAGAAGTATGAAGATGCAGTGGCGTATTTACGATTTTCATCTGGGGGGGGGGGGGGTCAACGTAACAATAAAAACAAATGATAGTTATTTTCATGTGCGCAAAGTAATACTTTTCTGCACGAAAAAGCAGTTAGACGAACAACGCAAAACGAAGTTCGGATAACCCTTAAGTGCGGGAAAGACACTTTGCGCAAGTGGTAGGAACAAAACTTTTTCTACGAAGTGTCTTAAAAGTTGTGAATTTAGTATAGAGCACTGCTTTTATTTTACATATAAGACTTTTAGAAAAAGGGCAATCAGTTGCATACAAATTCGAACCCAAATTTACAAATTCTTCACAGCATTTTTCAAAAAATATACAAATATTTGAAAAAAATTTGACATATTTTTAACCAAAAAGAACTAGTAAAGTATATATTGATTCAGTCAGAAAACTAGTTTCAACCATTGAAATTCACTCTGACTGGTTTGTGATTTCTGCAGAAAGGTCTATAAACCTAGCAGTCCCAAGGTGGAAAAAAACTTCGGGAACTATATAATAATTGGGTGCTTTTTAGGTACTAATTAGGGCCTCTAATTAAAAATTAGGTGCTCCTTTAGTTTTTGAGAAAATCAAAAAAACTATAAGGGACTGTTAGGTTTATGAAAGCTTAGCAGTACCCTATAGTAAAAAATATTTTTTCAAATTTTTTCTTTGTATCAGAATTAGGTGCTTTTTAGGTGCTCCTAAATAGAATTGATTAATTATTAACTGAGTTACAGATTTTTTTAAAATTATT